CTATAAACCAAAGTAGACTATGAGTGTGTGTGTGTATGTATCAGAGAAAAAGAGAGAAAGAAATTGTTAATGTTCACTAATCCTTTCAACTTCCAATTCTGGGGATGTGAGAGTGACGACACTGCCTAGAGAGCCTTTGATGAGACTCTTAATAACCACGAGGAGCAGTGAGATGCCTCAGCAGCGTTGCAATCAGCCGTCCCCTTCCCTCTTCAGTGCAGCTATGAAAGGCTGTCACTTTTCATCAGTACTCCATATGTTGAATAAAAGATGCCAAATGATAAGCAGAGCCTCCCTACATGAAAAAGAGTAGGGTGCTGCATCTGGCTGCTTCTAGTAGCTTTCTGTACTGTCTTCATGGTTCTGGGATGGTGGCTCCAAAAAAGGAAATGAAATTCAGGGGTTGGGTAGGGCAGTCCCCAGACGTCCCTGAAGGACTCCCATTCCAGAGGCATGAAAACGAAGTCACCGTGTCCCGCATTCTCTCAGACTCTGTGTTAATGGAGAGGTGCACGGTTCTGCATTTTTTTAAATTATTTATTTTTATTTTATTTATTTATTCATTCATTTATTTTTTAATTTGACCAGAGAGAGATAGAGGTTGACAGTGAGAAAGGAAGTGAGAAAGCAAGCTATCAGATTCAGGACTTGAACCCTGGTTGGCCATGTGGGAGTGTCCAGCGCCTTAACCACCATGCTACCTGCTGGTACCAGGTTCTGCATTTTTTTCATCCCTCATAATTATTGCTATCACACTTCTTTTTTTTTTTTTTTTTTTTTTGCCATAGGGCACATGTGCACTCTGGAGACAGGGATGGCCATGCTGCAATCCTCTCTCCTTCATTCACCTCCTAAAATTTTGAACACACACGCACATGTGCCTGGCATGATTTTCAAGCTGCCAGGTCTGGGACTTGAACCTTAGTCAACCACGTGGGAGTCCAGCACCTTAACCACCATGTTCCCTGATGGTATCCCACACTTGGTTATCAACCCACATACTTCCTTCCTTAAAATGCCTCAGGGGAGGGTGACTGGAGTCCTTAGGAGGCTACTGCTAAGGTTTGCTCAATTAACACATATAATGTATTGACCACTGACTGTGTGCAGGACACTGTCCTAAGTATATTTTTTCAATTTAATCTTCCTAACATTTGAGGCTGGGAGGTAGCATGGCAGTTAAGGCGCTGGACTCCACGTGGTTGATTGTAGTTTGAGTTCTGACCTAGTGGCTTGCTTTCTCTCTCTCTCTCTCTCTCTCTCTCTGATGAGTGTGTGCGCCCTGTAGAAAATTTAAAAGCAATAACAAACAAACAATTATTTAAAAAAATATATTCACAACATTTAACAGTCAGTATTATATGTGTGTGTGTGTGTGTGTGTGTATCTTCTTTTTAGAGAGATTTTTGCTATAGGGCATATGTGCTCACCATAGACACAGAGAGATCAAGAAAGTGACAACTTATTCTCTGGGGGAATGGCCACACTTTCTCCTCCATTCTCCTCTGGGGATTTTGGGCATGCATGCACACATGCCCAGTGTGAGTTTCAAGCCGCTAGGTCTGGCACTTGAACCACAGTTAGTCATGTGGGAGTCCAACACCATAACCACTATTCCACCTGCTGACCCCGGCAGTCAGGATTATTATTAATCCCATTTTAGAGATGGAGAAACTGGGATTTGGAAAGGCAAATTGTTGCCCAGGGTCGCACTGTTGGTAAGAACCTTGGAACCTATCCCAGTGCATGCCCTTGGCCGCAGTCTGTACTCACGGGAGCAGCAGCAGCACCGTGCATCAGAAGGTGCAGTCAGGGGACCAGCAGTTGGCATAATGGCTATGTCGCTGGACTCCTATGTAGTCAACCGCAGCTCAAGTCCTGGATCTCGTGACTTAAACTCATGCCGGGCGCGTGTGCACATGTGCCCAAGAGGAGAATGGAGGAGAAGGGACTGCAGCGTGGCCACCTCCCCTGGGGGGTTGATTTTTCACTTTCTCTCTCTCTCTGTCTTTCTGGTGAGCACACGTGCCCTGTAGCAAAAACCTCTCAAAAAAAAAAAAAAAAAAAAAAAAAGGTGCAGTCAGAAGCCTTCTCCTTAATTAGCTGTGGGATCCTAGGTGGTTATTTAACCTCCCCAAGTCTCTGTCAGTTCATCCTCCATGTGGGAATAGTAATTTCTACCCTGCCTTTCTCCAGGGGTTGAAGACAGCATCAACACCTGTTGATCAGTTCCAACGAGGTATTTCTCTGGGAAAAACTTCCCTGCCCACCTGTTCAAGTTGGGAATGAGAAGGGGGGTGGGAGCAGTGTTGCAGATAAAGGAAGTGTGAAACTAACTTTAGAAAGTCTGTTTTCTTTTTACACTTTTTATTTGCCTTTGTGTAAACTGTGGGGAAACACAGATCCCAATGTTTGATGAGGAATTCTGCTAATATTAGAAGTTCTCTAGACATGAAATTAAATGGTCAAAAGAGGGGCCCACATCGCACGCGTTCAAGTAGTAATTAAAGGGAGGACAGAAGAAAGCAGACAGAGATAGGTAACACCAGCATCTTCTAGACACGGTGCTCAGTGATTATATTTCATTTCCTATCCGTGTGCCCAATTCATTCTCTGTGGACAGCAAATTCATTTGGCCAAAGATACTTCACCGCACTCCATCATTAGCAATGAATGAAGAGTTTAAAAGCAATGCCGTGGCAAAACATTCTTGGCCAGACCACCAGCCTCTACGGTCCGAACAGTGTATGCTTTTTCTCAACTGAGAAACCAGGCTAGAATGAATCTATTTTCTTGAAATTTCAAATTGCCTAGCTGAAGCAACACCCATGGAGACCAGAGACACAGAAACACGCATGAACACACACACACACACTCGCGCAGAGCCGACATAAAAATGACGCTGCAAACAGTAGCTAATAGACTCCCAGTGCTGCATTTCTTCCTACGGTCATCAGTTAACAGCACTGACGCAGAAAGGACTTGAACAACCTGCCAGTGAGGACTTTGGGGAACTCCCGGAAAAAGCACACCCAGAGATAAAGGAATGAAGACGAATTCATGACGGCTCAGTTAGAAGCAATGTTTGAATGAAGAAAATAAAAGATGGCAAGTAATAACCGGGAGACTTCTAACCATTCAGTGTGGACTTGGGTTTATTAGAAACTGAAATACTCATTGTCCTCCATGAAACACTTGTGGCTGAAGCACTGCAACACAAACAACATTGACCCATTTTCTCCACTCTGGAACGCCCTAAAAAATCAAAAATGCCAAGATGGGTCCGTTCAAAACTTTTTGTACCTCAGGAACATGCCACATTTCCACCTGCCACTAAAGCCACACTGGAGAGATGGCATTTCCTGTTAAACCACATGGCACCATTGCCCCAGCCAGCATGCAAACTGAGCAGGACCCTGTGCCCCTCCTCCAGGGCCAATGGGGTCTGTAAGGACAAGAGGCTGGCCATAGATGGGGTCCAGGGAGCAATGGCAGCTTGTGGAAGGCACGCCTCACCGCCATCCTGCACCCTGTACCCCCTTCCTTCCTGTCTACAGGTTCCCCAAAAGACTCCCTCAACTATCTCAAACATGTACAACATTTAAGCGCCTAAGAAACACCTGGGAAATTCAGTCAGAACTGGGAGAGAGAGGCTGTGCATGAGATTGACTGGAAGAGGGGCAGCTTACATCTGAGATGGCTCTCCTTGCCTCTCTAACTCAGTCCTGTTAAAAGCCTGTCACTCTAGGGCAGTATTCAGATACACAATGTTTCCCCTCAGAGTCAATAGGGTTTGAGTGAAAAGTGTTACTTTGTGGAGAGATCATTGCCAGTTGAGCCCATTTCCAAGAACAAAACAGCAGACACAGAATCAGACCCTGTTAATATGTATCAGAGACCAAGCAAATAAACACAAAGGTTCTAAGTAACTCTGCCCAACAGAAGCAGGTGGAGAGAGAATGCTACCCTGCAGAGCTGAACAGGGTCTGAGCAACTCAAAGCAGAACTCCTTTTCAGATTGGGGGCAGCTTCCACTGTGCACAGGCTACCTGGCATTCCACCGCAGCTGCATTCCAAATGCTGGACTCAAGGAGAGCAACTGAAATGGATTTGGTATGCGGTTAAAATGCTTTATCTAGTAACTATTAACAAATAACAAGTCCTTCCTTTAGTTGGCAGGAGGACAGTTGCCACTGGCCAATTTGACTCCTGAAAATGGTGAGAACTTGCATGTACTTTTTTTTTTTTTTTTTCAGTTAAAGTTCCTGAAGTCCAAAAGCATTGTTTCTGGAATCTGAAGCAGCCCTGGAGCGCCAGTGGGCAACAGGCCTGACAGCTCCTTACACCCTCTCCCAGAGTGTCTGTCTTGGGCATTTTTATTGAAACTTTCTGGAAAGTGAAGAGTTTGAGGCGAGCTCGTGGTAAATCAAGAATTGTTCATCAAGAGTGAACACGCAAGGAGAATGAAAAACGCCATTCCCACCCAGGGAACCTTGGGTAGTCTCGGCTTCTAAACCTAAGATAACCAAGAGTCCTCTTCATTCTGCGAAGTTGTATACATTGAGTCGGCTGAGCTTTACGAGATGCTCTACGCCGTGTGAGCGAGATACAAAGTCAACTGCATTCATCCCCGACTTGGACGTCCACCCTGTCCCCCTTCCCACGGAAGGCCACATCTGGGCCAGTTCGCTGCCTAGCCCCACTCCGCTAGAGCGCGCTCGGCCCCCAGCGGCCCACCTGCGGGTTCCACCCAGCCCTTGGGAAAGGCAAGGCCGGGCACACCTTACAAGCGTCCCCTCTCCCAGGAGCCCGCCCAGAACGGCGTTATCTCTGGGGACTGAAAAGCAAACAGATCTTTAAAAGAAAAAGAGGGAGAGCAGGCTGTATTATATAACAATATACAGTCGATAAGGTTCTGGAAAACGAAAGTAGCCAGAGGAGGGGCAGGGGCAGGGGAGGCGAGGGGAGCCGGGCGTCGGGGAGCTGTCGCCAGCACTTACTCGAAGGCGAAGAAGAGTCCGCTAGTGACCAGGATGAGGATGAGAGTCAGGTAGAAGACGCCCGTCTGCCGGGCCATCATGATCCTGCCGTTGCAAAAGAACTTGTTTCTTCCCGGGAACACCTCCCATTTCCTCCGGGCCGCGATTTTCTTCTTCTTGTGGGGCGACTCCATGGGGGAGGAGCTGTGGGTGCTGATCTGACTGTACTCGCAGTCTTTCATGGGCCCGCCGCCGCCGGGAGGCATCC